GCTCTGGTGAGCAGCAGAAAAAGCAAATTCAACCGACATGCACCTCGAACGTTCTTCATTGTCAGCATTGTACCCAGGAGACCACGGGGACGAGTTATGAAAGGCAAAGAGGACATTCATGGATCAGTTCCCGGATCAGTTCATGGATCTTTCATGGATCAGTTCAAGGATCATTCATGGAGTTCAGTTCATGGATCAGTCATGGATCAGTTCCCGGATCAGTTCATGGATCAGTTCATGGATCAGTTCATGGATCAGTTCAAGGATCATTCATGGATCAGTCCATGGATCAGTTCCCATGGATCATTCATGGATCAGTTCCCGGATCAGTTCCCGGATCATTCATGGATCATTCCCGGATCATTCATGGATCATTGGATCAGTCCATGGAGTTCCATGGATCAGTTCATGGATCAGTTCATGGATCATTCATGGATCATTCAGTTCAGATCCATTCCATGGATCAGTTCATGGATCATTCATGGATCCCGGATCATTCATGGATCAGTTCCCATGGATCAGTTCATGGATCAGTTCAGTTCATGGATCATTCATGGGAGATCAGTTCATGGATCATTCATGGATCAGTTCCCGGATCATTCATGGATCAGTTCCGGATCAGTTCCCGGATCAGTTCCCAGATCAGTTCATGGATCATTTATGGATCAGTTCCCGTATCAGTTTCTTGGATCAGTTCAGTTGGATCAGTTCATGGTTCAGTTCCCGGATCAGTTCATGGTTCAGTTCCCGGATTCAGATCTTCCCATGGATCAGTTCATGGATCAGTTCGGATCAGATCAGTTCCCGGATGGAGTTTCTTCATCAGTTCATGGATCAGTTCTTCATCAGTTCATGGATCAGTTCCCGGATCATTCATGGATCAGTTCCCGGTGCAGTTCATGGATCAGTTCCCGGATCAGTTCACAGATCAGTTCATGGATCAGTTCCCAGATCATTCATGGATCAGTTCCCGGATCATTCATGGATCAGTTCCCGGATCAGTTCCCGGATCATTCATGGATCAGTTCCCGGATCATTCATGGATCAGTTCTCGGATCAGTCCATGGATCAGTCCATGGATCAGTCCATGGATCAGTTCATGGATCAGTTCTCGGATCAGTTCATCCCAGATCAGTCCATGGATCAGTCCATGGATCAGTTTCATGGATCAGTTCATGGATCAGTTCATGGAGTTCAAGTTCATGGATCAGTTCAGATCATTCATGGATCAGTTCCCCGATCAGTTCATGGATCATTCATGGATCAGTTCCCAGATCATTCATGGATCAGTTCCCGGATCATTCATGGATCAGTTCCCGGATCATTCATGGATCAGTTCCCGGATCAGTTCCCGGATCATTCATGGATCAGCTCCCGGATCCATGGATCAGTCCATGGATCAGTCCATGGATCAGTTCATGGATCATTCATGGATCAGTTCAAGGATCATTCATGGATCAGTTCCCGGATCATTCATGGATCAGTTCCCAGATCAGTTCATGGATCATTCATGGATCAGCTCCCGGATCATTCATGGATCAGTTCCCAGATCAGTTCATGGATCATTCATGGATCAGTTCCCGGATCATTCATGGATCAGTTCCCGGATCATTCATGGATCAGTTCCGGATCAGTTCCCGGATCAGTTCCCGGATCAGTTCATGGATCAGTTTCCGGATCAGTTCCCGGATCAGTTCATGGATCAGTTCTATGGATCAGTTTTCATGGATCAGTTCCCGGATCAGTTCATGGATCAGTTCTTGGATCAGTTCCCCAGTTCATGGATCAGTGTTCTTGGATCAGTTCCCTTGGATCAGTTCCCGGATCAGTTCCGGATCAGTTCACGGATCAGTTCCTGTATCAGTTCATGGATCATTTACGGATCATTCATGGATCAGTCCATGGATCAGTTCATGGATCAGTTCGTCATCAGTATTCATCCATTTCCTTGCATCTTACCAATGCAAGATCCGACCATACGTCCGTTTACATCCATTTTGTCCTCTATTCCGTTTTTTTTTTTAACTGAAGAAAAATAATCCCCTTTTACACGAGCGTTCCGTATGTCTGCTTTTCATCTGTCCGTTTACGGATCAAAAATGGCCCCCCCATGTATTTCTATGGACTAGCAGAATGTAAATGGATGTAATTGGATGAAAAACAGATGTAAATGAATGTAAACGGATGTAAGCAGATGTAAACAGACAAAAAACAGATTTAAATGTAAATGGATGTAAACGGACAATAAAGAGATGTAAATGGCTGTAAACGGACAATAAATAGATGTAAATGGACAATAAACAGATGTAAATGGTTGTAAATGGACAATAAACAAATGTAAATGGATGTAAGTGGACAAAAAAACAGATGTAAATGGATGTATATGGACAAAAAACATGTAAACGGATGAAAAACAGATGTAAATGGATGTAAGCGGATGAAAACAGATCTAAATGGATGTAAGTGGACAAAAACAGATGTAAATGGACGTAAACGGATGAAAAACAGATGTAAATGGGCGAAAACAGATGTAAACAGATGTAAATGGACGAAAAAACAGATTTAAATGGATGTACACAGATGTAAATGGATGTAAACGGACAATAAACAGATGTAAATGGATGTAAGCGGACAAAAAAAAAACAGATGTAAATGGATGAAAAGGGACTAAAAACAAATGTAAATGGATGTAAGCGGAGAACAAACAGATGTAAATGGATGTAAACAGACGAAAAACGTAAATGGTTGTAAACGGATGAAAAACAGATCTAAATGGATGTAAGTGGACAAAAACAGATGTAAATGGATGTAAGCGGACAACAAACAGATGTAAATGGATGTAAACGGACAAAAAACATAAATGGTTGTAAACGGATGAAAAACAGATGTAAATGGATGTAAGCGGATGAAAAACAGATCTAAATGGATGTAAGTGGACAAAAACAGATGTAAATGGACGTAAACTGATGAAAAACAGATGTAAATGGGTGAAAACGGATGTAAACAGATGTAAAAATGGATGTAAATGAATGTAAATGAATGTAAACGGATGTAAAACTGGTGTGAACTGATCCTGCTTGCACTGATGAAAGAACCGAACGCCCGTGTGGAAGGGCCCGTAAGGTTTTCTTGTTACCGGATGTGGACATTAATGAATGTAGACCGATGATTGTCCGTCTACATCTGCCAGTCCATAGAAATCCATGGCGGTCCATTCTTCATCCGTAAACGGACGTACAGAAGGGGCCCGAGGGAATTTTCCTCGGAGATTGGTGACTGTGATAGGATTTCACTTTGCAGAGAACACCCAATCACACACAAGGCCATTCTTGTGGTCAGGCAGTGGGATGATGGACATTATGGGAACTTCTCCTCGCTCTCCAAGCCGTGAGGAACATTCCCGTACAAAGCGAACGGCTCGTCTGTAGTAAATCCATCGAATACCCTCCAGAAGTACGGGAGATGTCTACGCTCGGTTTGTCTCCCTCTATGGGCAGTGGAGGTGAATTGCAGGAACATGGTGGAGGGAGTCTGATGGCAGACATCAACAGACGGATGGACAATATTTGTGTCTCTCGGGTTCGTGGAATGATCGATGAAAATACAACGGCGGGGGGAGGGAGGGAAGATTCATTATTAGAAAAGGTTTAAATCGTCTCAAATAAACCGATCTCTAGTTGTGTCGGCCATAAATGGGTCTAGGTGCAGTCTGTCTTTGTCATCTTAGAGCTTTGCTGTAGACTCAAAACATCCACTAGGGGGCACGTTCATCCCACAGACCAGAAGGATCCTGGCATCATCATTGGTTCCCACGTCTAGGTCACATGACCTTGAGCCATGGAAGCAGTGGACTAAAGGGAAATGAAGTCTGTTGGTGTCAGCACCTACAATGACAAACTGCTGCAGGTCACATGACCGAACCTGCAGGCATTTTTGTCTGCCTGTGTCCCCCCCCCCCCCCCCCCCTCCACACCCATGGAGATTTCCCGTAACTTCTTGTCCTGGAGATGGAACGGGAAATGAGAGGAAATCTCTTCAAAGTGAACAAAATTCAGAGGTTTGTCACAGGAACAAGGGTCTCCTTTGGAGGATTTTTCCCTCACCTTTTGCTCTGGTGGCATCTCAGAGTTTTTGGATTCCCCCCTCTTTATTGGTCACAGAAAGTACAGGGGACAGCCTCACCCCCCCCCCCCCCCCCCCCCCCCAGAAGGGACCGCGCAGCAATGAAGAGTTGGCAGAGGGTCTCAACATTCCCTACTCTGCTCTCTCGTTGGGTTGGGTTCTGTGCAACCTGTCTCTGTGTACTCTCTGGTTCTCGTGACAGTGGCCTTGACCATGAGGTGATCTTTGCTAGTGTGCATCACTAGTGGAGTTCTGCCTATATGGTGGCCTTGACCATGAGGTGATCTTTGCCTGTGTGCATCATTGGTGGAGTTCTGTCTATATGGTGGCCTTGACCATGAGTCGATCTTTGCCCGTGTGCATCACTAGTGGAGTTCTGCCTATATGGTGGCCTTGACCATGAGGTGATCTTTGCCTGTGTGCATCATTGGTGGAGTTCTGCCTATATGGTGGCCTTGACCATGAGGTGATCTTTGCCCGTGTGCATCATTGGTGGAGTTCTGCCTATATGGTGGCCTTGACCATGAGGCCATCTTTGCCTATGTGCATCACTAGTGGAGCTCTGTCTATATGGTGGCCTTGACCATGAGGCCATCTTTGCCTATGTGCATCGCTGGCCATAAGAGAAGATAGGAAACCCAGCCTGACTCCTTCACCACATGAACGCTTGCAGTTTTGGTCTATGCCAGAGGTCTCATGGTGTCGGTTTGTGCCAACAACTATCTACTGATGACCAAGTGAGTGGAACCATTTGGAAGGCTTCTTTCTCTGTAGACTATAGAAGATTGTTGACAACAATTGATCTGCATTTTCTGCTCATTCCCTTTTAATGCGACTCCCCTTTATGAGTTTCTCATTTCCATCTTCTTCCCCTCCAGTGCTGATGACCAGTTCACGGGATCAATGGAGACCAACGTTGTGATTCGGTACGATGGTCAGATCATGTGGGACTCACCGGCCATCACCAAAAGCTCCTGCAAAGTGGACGTCTCCTTCTTCCCTTTTGATGGACAGCAATGTCGCTTGACCTTTGGCTCTTGGACCTACAATGGTAACCAGATCGACATCCTGAACCACCTGGACACGGGAGATCTGACGGACTTCGTGGAGAACGTGGAATGGGAGGTTCTGGGGATGCCAGCCAAGAAAAACATCATCACCTATGGTTGCTGTTCTGAGCCATACCCCGATGTCACCTATACCCTGATTCTGAAGAGGAGAGCCTCCTTTTACATCTTCAACCTCCTCCTGCCCTGTGTGATGATCTCCTTCCTGGCTCCTCTGGGGTTTTATCTGCCTGCAGACTCTGGGGAGAAGGTGTCACTGGGTGTCACTGTCCTCCTGGCTCTCACCGTATTCCAGCTGCTGGTGGCAGAAAGTATGCCACCCTCAGAAAATGTGCCACTAATCGGTGAGTAGAGGAAGAGGTGGCACCATCGGGACCTCAATGATTGGATACAATTCATTTCACCTCTTTATCCCATAATCCTCTCCTCCCCACTCCCCTTGACTCTTCTCTCCCCTCTTCTCCCCTACCCTCATCTCTTCTCTCCCCCTCCTCTCCCCGTCCCCCTCCCCTCTTATCTTATCTCCCCTCCTCTCCCTTCCCTTCCTCTCCCCCTCCCTTCTTCTCTCCTCTGCTCTCCCCTCCACTCCCCTCTTTTCTCCCCTGCTCTTCTCTCTCCCCTCCTCTCTTCTTTCCTCTCCCTTCCTCTCCCCTCCTCTCCCCTCTCTTCCCCTCCCTTTCCCTCCTCTCCCTTTCCCTTCTCTCCTCTCCACTCCCCTCTCCCCTTCCCTCCTCTCCTCTCCTCTCCCTTTCCCTCCTCTCGCCCTCCTCTCCCTTTCCCTCCTCTCCTCCTCTCTCTTTCCCTCCTCTCCTCCTCTCTCTTTCCCTCCTCTCCCTTTCCCTCCTCTCCCCTCCTCTCCCTTTCCCTCCTCTCCCTTTCCCTTCTCTCTCTCTCCCCTCCCCTCTCCCCTTCTCTCCTCTCCCCTCCCCTCTCCCCTTCTCTCCCTTTCCCTCCTATCCTCTCCTCTCCCTTTCCCTCCTCTCCCCTCCCTTTTCCCTCCTCTCCCCTCCTATCCTCCTCTCCCTTTCCCTCCTCTCCCCTTTCCCTCCTCTCTCCCTTTCCCTCCTCTCCCTTTCCCTCCTCTCCCCTCCTATCCTCCTCTCTCCCCTCTCCCTTTCCCTCCTCTCCCCTCCTATCCTCCTCTCTCTTCCCCTCCTCTCCCCTCCTATCCTCTCCCCTCCCCTCCTCCTCTCCCCCCTCCTCTCCTCTCCCCTCCTCTCCCTTTCCCTCCTCTCTCCCCTCCTATCCTCTCCCTTTCCCTCTTCTCCCCTCCCATTGTCTCCCCTCTCCTCTCCCTTTCCCTCCTATCCTCTCCCCTCCTCTCCCTTTCCCTCCTCTCCCCCTCCTCTCCCTTTCCCTCCTCTCCCTTTCCCCCTCTCCCCTCCTCTCCCTTTCCCTCCTCTCCCCTCCTATCCTCTCCCTTTCCCTCTTCTCCCCTCCCATTGTCTCCCCTCTCCTCTCCCTTTCCCTCCTCTCCCCTCCCTTTCCCTCCTCTCCCCTCCTATCCTCTCCCTTTCCCTCTTCTCCCCTCCCATCCTCCTCCCCTCCCATCCTCCCCCTCCTCTCCCCTCCCATCCTCTCCCCTCCTATCCTCTCCCTTTCCCCCCTCTCCCCTCCCCTCCTCTCCCCTTCTATCCTCCTCTCCCTTTCCCTTCTCTCCCCTCCTCTCCCTTTCCCTCCTCCCCCTCTCCCCCCCTCTTCTCTCCCCCCTCTCCTCCCCCTCCCCTCCTCTCCCCTTCTATCCTCCTCTCCCTTTCCCTTCTCTCCCCTCCTCCTCTCCCTTTCCCTCCTCTACCCTCTCCCCCCCTCTTCTCTCCCCTCCCCTCTCCCCTCCCCTCTCCTCCTCATAGTAGGGGGGAGGGTTATAATGGGGTGTATTTAAGGAAGGAGGTATTTGGAGGTGTATTTAGGGGAGGGGGTGTGGGGTTATATTGGGGGTGTGTTTAGGGGAGGGGTGTGGGGGTATATGGGGGTGTGTTTAGGGGAGGGAGTGTGGGGGTATATGGGGGTGTGTTTAGGGGAGGGGTTGTGGGGGGTATATGGGGGTGTGTTTAGGGGAGGGGGTGTGGGGGGGTGTTTAGGGGAGGGGTGTGTGGCGGTATATGGGGGGGTGTTTTAGGGGAGGGGGTGTGGGGTTATATTGGGGGTGTGTTTAGGGGAGGGTGTGTGGGGGTATATGGGGGTGTGTTTAGCGGAGGGGTTGTGGGGGTATATGGGGGTGTATTTAGGGGAGGGTGTGTGGCAGTATATGGGAGGGTATTTAGGGGAGGGGTGTGGGGTTATATTGGGGGGTGTGTTTAGGGGAGGGGTGTTTGGGTATATGGGGGTGTGTTTAGGGGAGAGGGGGTGTGGGGTATATGAGGGTGTTGTTTAGGAAAGGGTGTGTGGGGGTATATGGGGTGTGTTTAGGGGAGGGGTTGTGGGGGTATATGGGGTGTGTTTAGGGGAGGGGGTGCGGGGGGTGTGTGGCGGTATATGGGGGGGTATTTAGGGGAGGGAGTGCGGGGTTATATTGGGGATGTATTTAGAGGAGGGGGTGTGGGGGTATATGGGGGGGTGTTTAGGGGAGGGAGTGCGGGGTTATATTGGGGATGTATTTAGAGGAGGGGGAGTGGGGGTATATGGGGGGGTGTTTAGGGGAGGGGGTGTGTGGGGTATATGGGGGTGTATTTAGGGGAGGGTGTGTGGCAGTATATGGGGGGTATTTAGGGGAGGGGTGTGGCGGTATATGGGGGGTATGTAGGGGAGGGGGTGTGGGGATTTCTCTTCTTGGGGGTCATTCGATTAAGTGGCCCGGTCATTGGTGTAACAAACCTCCACCCGCTGTAGCCTGGGAAAGATTGACTGGTGTACTTACCTGTCCGGCAGGTGACCGGTGAACTGCAGAGGTCCAGGAGTAGAAGATAGCATTTCCCCAACTGGGGTCTGGAGCTCCTCCCACTGGCCCCTACATCCCCCCAGAGGAGCCCAGTGGGGGGCATGCTGTCCTGCACCCCTGGAGCTCTACAAGAGAAGGGAAGGTTCACTGGACAGGTAAGTTGTAGACAGGTGGTTCTCCTACAGGGTGAGCTGGTGGACGATTGTCAGTGATATACCGAGTAAAATTCGATGTCCACAGACCGAAGACTCACCCTGGCTCCTCTCATTGCAGGAAAGTATTACATTGCCACAATGACCATGATCACGGCCTCCACCGCCCTCACCATCTTCATCATGAACATCCACCACTGTGGCCCGGAGGCCAAGCCTGTCCCCAAGTGGGCCAAGAAGTTCATCTTGCAGTATATGTCGCGGATCTTCTTCGTCTATGAGGTGGGCGAGAGCTGCAGGAGGCCACAGACTGAGCCTGAGCCAGAGAGGCTTCCCAAAGGTCAGGCCATAAACGGACAAGCCAAATGGGAGGAGCCCGTGGTTGTACCGAAGAGCTGTCCAGACAGCAGTTCCAACACCAAGATGGTGAGGAGGAGAGATGGACTGGGGATACGAAGACGGTCATAAGGCCTGGAAAGAGCCAGGTGGCAAATACGAAAGCTCTGATCCCTGCAAGGGTGGGAAGGGGTGCGGGGACCGTGAGTGCTCCAAAATCCATTGTCTGTGCCACAATGAACCTGCTGAAAAACATTGAGTACATGGCCAACTGCTTCCGGGAACAAAAGGCCGCTCAGAAACGGACTGGCGAGTGGAAGAAGGTCGCAAAGGTCATGGACCGCTTCTTTATGTGGGTGTGTTCTTCATCATGGTCTTCTTCATGAGCATGCTTATCATGGGCAAAGCCATCTGAAGGACATCCTGATGGAGCAGAGCCAGGGTACCTACTCACAGTATTCTTCTCCTGCCTAACCTGGTGTTACGTTCTTGAGTTGGGCAGCTCCTAGGTGCAGTTCTAACGGGTGTCCAATGTAGAAGGCATCTGCCTGGTGTCGGGGGGGGGGGGGGGGGGGGGTCAGCACCCAACTGCGGAGAACTTCTGCTGGCTTCAGATCCATGGTGGACCATCACAACGTGGTAGACAGAAGTACTATATCAATAAACATACTGCCATCCAGCCTGTTTCTGGTGTCATCCATTCTTTGTGATCCAGATGTGGACCTTCAGAACCAAGTTCATAGGAGGATCCTCCATCTTCTGATTCGGCTTGGTCTGGTGCTCTTAGGTATGCCCAGCAATGGCCAAGACAAGTTAGTGTAACTCCCTGCAGGTTTGGGAGAGACTGGAGCGGTACTCTAGATCTCAGTGCCAGAGGTTGTTGGTGTCACTCTGCTGTAACTCATAATAATAGAGAGTATGGTGCAGCCGGCCAGTGTCTCCGACACCAGAACACACTAAAACAGGACTACTCATATAATAATAGAGGTGTGGTGAAGCCGGCCAGTGTCTCCTACACCAGAACACACTAACACAGGACACCTCATATAATAATAGAGGGTATGGTGCAGCCGGCCAGTGTCTCCCACAGCAGAACACACTAACACAGGACACACCTCATATAATAATATAGAGGGTGTGGTGAAGCCGGCCAGTGTCTCCGACACCAGAACACACTAACACAGGACAACTCATATAATAATAGAGGGTATGGTGCAGCCGGCCAGTGTCTCCTACACCAGAACACACTAACACAGGACACCTCATATAATAATAGAGGGGTGTGGTGAAGCCGGCCAGTGTCTCCTACACCAGAACACACTAACACAGGACACCTCATATAATAATAGAGGGTGTGGTGCAGCCGGCCAGTGTCTCCGACACCAGAACACACTAACACAGGACAACTCATATAATAATAGAGAGTATGGTGCAGTCGGCCAGTGTCTCCTACCCGAGTACACTCTTACACAGGACACACTCATATAATAATAGAGGGTGTGGTGAAGCCGGCCAGTGTCTCCGACACCAGAACACACTAACACAGGACAACTCATATAATAATAGAGGGTATGGTGCAGCCGGCCAGTGTCTCCTACACCAGAACACACTAAACACAGGACACCTCATATAATAATAGAGGGTGTGGTGAAGCCGGCCAGTGTCTCCGACACCAGAACACACTAACACAGGACAACTCATATAATAATAGAGGGTATGGTGCAGCCGGCCAGTGTCTCCTACACCAGAACACACTAACACAGGACACCTCATATAATAATAAGAGGGTGTGGTGAAGCCGGCCAGTGTCTCCTACACCAGAACACACTAACACAGGACACCTCATATAATAATAGAGGGTGTGGTGCAGCCGGCCAGTGTCTCCGACACCAGAACACACTAACACAGGACAACTCATATAATAATAGAGAGTATGGTGCAGTCGGACAGTGTCTCCTACCCGAGTACACTCTTACACAGGACACCTCATATAATAATAGAGGGTGTGGTGAAGCCGGCCAGTGTCTCCTACCCGAGTACACTCTTACACAGGACACCTCATATAATAATAGAGGGTGTGGTGAAGCCGGCCAGTGTCTCCGACACCAGAACACACTAACACAGGACAACTCATATAATAATAGAGGGTATGGTGCAGCCGGCCAGTGTCTCCTACACCAGAACACACTAACACAGGACAACTCATATAATAATAGAGGGTATGGTGCAGCCGGCCAGTGTCTCCGACACCAGAACACACTAACACAGGACAACTCATATAATAATAGAGAGTATGGTGCAGCCGGCCAGTGTCTCCTACAGCAGAACACACTAACACAGGACAACTCATATAATAATAGAGGGTGTGGTGAAGCCGGCCAGTGTCTCCTACACCAGAACACACTAACACAGGACTACTCATATAATAATAGAGGGTATGGTGCAGCCGGCCAGTGTCTCCGACACCAGAACACACTAACACAGGACAACTCATATAATAATAGAGGGTATGGTGCAGCCGGCCAGTGTCTCCGACACCAGAACACACTAACACAGGACAACTCATATAATAATAGAGGGTGTGGTGAAGCCAGCCCCAGTGTCTCCTACAGCAGAACACACTAACACAGGACACCTCATATAATAATAGAGGGTATGTGCAGCCGGCCAGTGTCTCCTACACCAGAACACACTAACACAGGACACCTCATATAATAATAGAGGGTGTGGTGCAGCCGGCCAGTGTCTCCGACACCAGAACACACTAACACAGGACAACTCATATAATAATAGAGGGTATGGTGCAGCCGGCCAGTGTCTCCGACACCAGAACACACTAACACAGGACAACTCATATAATAATAGAGGGTATGGTGCAGCCGGCCAGTGTCTCCGACACCAGAACACACTAACACAGGACAACTCATATAATAATAGAGGGTGTGGTGAAGCCAGCCAGTGTCTCCTACAGCAGAACACACTAACACAGGACACCTCATATAATAATAGAGGGTATGGTGCAGCCGGCCAGTGTCTCCTACACCAGAACACACTAACACAGAACACCTCATATAATAATAGAGGGTGTGGTGCAGCCGGCCAGTGTCTCCTACACCAGAACACACTAACACAGGACACCTCATATAATAATAGAGGGGTATGTGCAGCCGGCCAGTGTCTCCTACACCAGAACACACTAACACAGGACACCTCATATAATAATAGAGGGTGTGGTGCAGCCGGCCAGTGTCTCCGACACCAGAACACACTAACACAGGACAACTCATATAATAATAGAGGGTGTGGTGAAGCCGGCCAGTGTCTCCTACACCAGAACACACTAACACAGGACACCTCATATAATAATAGAGGGGTGTGGTGAAGCCGGCCAGTGTCTCCTACACCAGAACACACTAACACAGGACACCTCATATAATAATAGAGGGTGTGGTGCAGCCGGCCAGTGTCTCCGACACCAGAACACACTAACACAGGACAACTCATATAATAATAGAGAGTATGGTGCAGTCGGCCAGTGTCTCCTACCCGAGTACACTCTTACACAGGACACCTCATATAATAATAGAGGGTGTGGTGAAGCCGGCCAGTGTCTCCTACACCAGAACACACTAACACAGGACACCTCATATAATAATAGAGGGTATGGTGCAGCCGGCCAGTGTCTCCTACACCAGAACACACTAACACAGGACAACTCATATAATAATAGAGGGTGTGGTGAAGCCGGCCAGTGTCTCCTACAGCAGAACACACTAACACAGGACAACTCATATAATAATAGAGGGTGTGGTGCAGCCGGCAGTGTCTCCTACACCAGAACACACTAACACAGGACAACTCATATAATAATAGAGGGTGTGGTGCAGCCGGCCAGTGTCTCCGACACCAGAACACACTAACACAGGACAACTCATATAATAATAGAGGGGTGTGGTGAAGCCGGCCTGTGTCTCCTACAGCAGAACACACTAACACAGGACAACTCATATAATAATAGAGGGTGTGGTGCAGCCGGCCAGTGTCTCCTACAGCAGAACACACTAACACAGGACACCTCATATAATAATAGAGGGTATGGTGCAGCTGGCCAGTGTCTCCTACCCGAATAGACTCTTACACAGGACACCTCATATAATAATAGAGAGTATGGTGCAGCCGGCCAGTGTCTCCTACAGCAGAACACACTAACACAGGACAACTCATATAATAATAGAGGGTGTGGTGCAGCCGGCCAGTGTCTCCTACCCGAGTACACTCTTGCACAGGACACCTCATATAATAATAGAGAGCATGGTGCAGCCGGCCAGTGTCTCCGACACCAGAACACACTAACACAGGACACCTCATATAATAATAGAGAGTATGGTGCAGCCGGCCAGTGTCTCCTACACCAGAACACACTAACACAGGACAACGCATATAATAATAGAGGGTGTGGTGAAGCCGGCCAGTGTCTCCTACATCCGGACCACACTAACACAGGACACCTCATATAATAATAGAGAGTATGGTGCAGTCGGCCAGTGTCTCCTACAGCAGAACACACTAACACAGGACACCTCATATAATAATAGAGGGTGTGGTGAAGCCGGCCAGTGTCTCCTACACCAGAACACACTAACACAGGACACCTCATATAAATAATAGAGGGTGTGGTGAAGCCGGCCAGTGTCTCCTACACCAGAACACACTAACACAGGACACCTCATATAATAATAGAGGGTATGGTGCAGCCGGCCAGTGTCTCCTACACCAGAACACACTAACACAGGACAACGCATATAATAATAGAGGGTGTGGTGAAGCCGTCCAGTGTCTCCTACAGCAGGACACACTAACACAGGACAACGCATTTAATAATAGAGGGTGTGGTGAAGCCGGCCAGTGTCTCCTACAGCAGAACACACTAACACAGGACAACTCATATAATAATAGAGGGGGTATGGTGAAGCCGGCCAGTGTCTCCTACACCAGAACACACTAACACAGGACAACTCCATATAATAATAGAGGGTATGGTGCATCCAGCCAGTGTCTCCTACAGCAGAACACACTAACACAGGACACCTCATATAATAATAGAGCGTGTGGTGAAGTCGGCCAGTGTCTCCTACAGCAGAACACACACTAACACAGGACTACTCATATAATAATAGAGGGTGTGGTGAAGCCGGCCAGTGTCTCCTACACCAGAACACACTAACACGGGACACCTCATATAATAATAGAGGGTGTGGTGCAGCCGGCCAGTGTCTCCTACACCAGAACACACTAACACAAGACTACTCATAAATAATAATAGAGGGTATGGTGCAGCCGGCCAGTGTGTCTCCTACACCAGAACACACACTAACACAAGACTACTCATATAATAATAGAGGGTGTGGTGAAGCC